AGAGAGAGAGAGAGAGAGAGAGAGAGAGAGAGAGAGATTCTGATGTGTGCCTTCTGGGATACCTCACCCAATGCCCCTTCCCTCTTTCCCTCTTTCCCTCAAATGAGATACTAGTATCAACCAGAAATATTCGAACCATCCAAATAAATGGCATATTGTTTGCTCAACTGTTCTACGTTCTGTGTGTGTTTGTACATATATTGCACTGTCTTTGAACAGTGTTTTATTGTTTTGTGTGTGTACAACTGTTGTGTTTTGTGTGTGTTTGTATAATTGGTGTGTGGATGGTTGGTGGGTGCTCTGATGTGGTTTACTTCTTCTATCCTATCAGAGATCTATCGTCTTTATCTCCCCTCCTTTTTTTGTGTTTGTCACTCTCTTGTAACACCTCTAATCTTTGGCACTTATATGACCCTATTCTGTTGCAAGTGCTGTAAAACTCTTATGTAAAAAAAAAATTCTGTGTATTTGTGTGCAACTGTTTTGATTTGTGTGTATTTGTACGAATATTGTACCATTTGTGTGTTTGTGTGCAACTGTTTTGATTTGTGTGTATTTGTACGAATATTGTACCATTTGTGTGTTTGTACATCTGATGTGTTTTGTGGGTTTTTGAACAACTATAAGTCAGTGTTGTGGGTGGTTGGCGGGTGCTCTGGTGTGGTTTGCTCCTTCTTTTCATCAAACGTCTGTCATCCTGATCTCCCCTTTTTCTTTTTTGTGTTTCTTACTCTCTTGTAACACCTCTAATCTTCTGGCGCTCATATGACCTTACGCAGTTGCGAGCTCCGTAAAACCTCTACTAAACTACTAGAACAAACAACTGCCCGTTTGTTCGACTATTCTACGTTATTTTCTTTTACTTTCTGTTTCAGACCAAGCTTGATGAGATGGAGAAGTCCTCGGCCAACAGAGATCTGGGCTCCGACCTGCGGGGTGTTAAGGAACTGCTGAAGAAACATCAGGTCTGTTCAGAGACTTGTAGTATAATAATATGTGTCATGAAGTGATGGAAGCAGGCGCCCGTCAATTTGTGGGCATATGGAGTTATTGGTATCATCTTAAAGCTCGTTCATTTGTCTTGCTTTTGGTGAAAAAAATCATCCATCTATCTTCAATAGAAGTTGAGATATTTCAGATTGTAGAAGATGAGGTCACTTGGTTTCAGAAGTAAAATTAGAGAGAAAATGGCTGCCTAAGTTTGGTGACCTCCTAAGCTTGAGAGTCCATGGAAACTGTAAATTTACATTTTTTGTGCCTTTAATCAACGTTCTTTAGTAAAAGTCACTCAACAATGTGTTTTTAATGGATACAAAAGATTTTGAGCCAAAAAAATTAAAAATTTGGATACAAATTTTCAAAGGGGAAGAAAAATACCATTTTCTTTGATTTCATTATTTTGACGAGCGCCTGATGTCACCACGATGCCTTAGCTAAAGAAACGGGAAATTTCCATAATTTAGAGTGGCTAACTTGTACATAATTCTTTTCTTAACAGGAAGCCAGTGCGGTTTCCGTAAAAGAAGCGAGGCAGAGTCTTGCTTTCTTTTCTGTAAAATTAAATGTGCAGCATTGTTGTCTGAGACTTCAATGAATGATATCTGTGATGTCTCTGACTGATACATTATGTGACCTCAATGGATGATATCTGTGACCTTCATAACTGATATTTGTGATCTCAATTGGTCACTTTTAAGTACAAGGGGGCTATACTGAAAAATGCTGTTTTGGGAACATCAAAGATAAAGTTTTTGGATCCTTATTCAGTTTCTTTAAAAGACAAGGAGAGTTTTCTCTATAACCAAACAAATATACACACCAATGAAACCAAACTTCTCTTATAGGTAGGGCGATGC